GATGAAGACGAATTTTATTTGCTATTATAGATTCGAGTAACTTTCCCACAATAGACGTTAGGCTAATTGGTCGATAGTTAGACGCAAGTGATCTATCTCCTTTCTTAAAAACTGGTATCACATTAGCAACTTTCCAAAACTCTGGCACTCTGCCTGACTCTATTGATTTATTAAATATGGTTGACAGTGGGTCACAAAGCTCCTCTTTGCATTCTTTAAGCACCCTGGCAAACACTTCATCCGGCCCTGGGGATTTGTTTGGTTTGAGTTTTACTATTTGTTTAAGAACATCCTCCCTGGTAACTGCTAAACTCGTCAACCTGTCCTCGTCCCCACCCACATAGACTTGTTCGGCTGAAGGCATATTGTTAAGTTCCTCTTTAGTAAATACAGATACAAAATATTTATTAAAAATACTACTCATCTCTTCATCACTATCTGTTATTTGACCTGTCTCAGTTTTTAATGGACCTATCCTTTCCCTAGTCTTAGTACGATATAACTGAAAAAACCCTTTAGGATTTGTCTTTGCTTGCCCTGCTATGCGAACTTCATAGTTTCTTTTTGCTTTCCTTATCTCTTTTTTAACATTTCTAACCAGTTGTACGAATTCCTGTTCTAAAGTGACCTCCCCATTTTTAATCCTTTTGTACCAAGCTCTCTTTTTACCTATAAGGTTCTTCAAATTCTTTGTTATCCACTTTGGGTCATTAGTATTCGATCTATTCAATTTGTATGGTATACTACGTTCCTGTGCTTTGTTTAGAATATTCTTAAATAAGTTATATATTGAATCCACATCGAAATCCCCATTTAAGTCACCTATCGCTGGGTTCATGTCTCGCTCCAAGACCGGCCCACACCCCATACCCAAGACTTTCCAATCAATTTGACCCAAAAAATTTCTTAGGCTATTAAAATCAGCTTTTCGAAAATCTGGCACTTTAACAGAATTTTCTCCTACTGGTCTATTCCATTCTATGCTAAATCTGATTTCTTTGTGATCACTGCTCCCTAGCTCACTCCCTATTTCGATGTCATTAATTTGCGTTTCCCTGTTAGTTAACACTAAATCTAAAATATTATTTTCCCGTGTTGGTTCCTTAATGTGTTGCGTAAGAAAGCAATCGTCAATTAATTCTAGAAAATCTTCTGCTTCACTATTCCCTGTTTTGTTCAACCAGTTTATTCCGCTAAAATTAAAGTCACCCATGACATAAATACTGTTAGATCTAGATGCTCTAGATATTTCATCCCATAGATGCTTTGCTTCCATTCTGTCTAAATTTGGTGGCCTATATATTACTCCTATTATAATATTATTAGCTTTTTCGTTTAATTCAATCCAAATAGTTTCTGTGTGTGGCTCTGTTTTGATTCCCTCTTTGAGACTACATTTCAAATTGTCCCTAACATATATGGCTACTCCACCTCCTCGTCTAATATATCTATCTGTGTGAAATAGTTTAAATCCATATATTTGATATTCAGCTAATAGTTCTCTATTTTCTACATTCATCCACGTTTCGGTAAGTGCAATAATATCTATTTTTTCTGTGCAGACAAGAGCATTTAATTCGTTAATTTTATTTCTTAGACTTCTACTGTTAGTGTAATATACCCTAAGTGAATTGTTATTTTGCGGACCTTCTCTTTCCCTGATCGTTTTGCCAATTCCTTTCTCCCACAAACACATACTTTTATTACCTCCTTCCTCCAAATCAATTCCCATACCTCTATCTACTAACAGTTTAAACCCAAACAAACACCTCTAACCACTTCTTCTAACGAGTTCGCAACAGCAACAACCCCAGCTCTCGATAGATGCACCCCATCACGAGCATACATTTCATTTCTTCCATAGAAGTGTTCCCAGTTGTCTATGAAAGATATTGCATTTGATTTGCAATATCTTTCCAGCCGGCAATTGACACCAAGTGCCCTCGATATCCATTCATTTCCCACTCCCTTTCTTGGAAGAATGCCACATATGATCGGGATTCCTCCCTTGCTCCTAACTAACTCTATGGCTGTTTTATACCTCTGAATCAGTTCCTCACTCCTAACTCGACCAACATCATTTCCTCCCACGCTAATGCAAATAATGGGATTGTTCCCATTACCAGCCATAATATCATTCATTCAAACAGAGAGTTAGTATAAATGGGGTTAAGTCAGAGTGGGATAATGTTGTTAGTGGAGTACCTCAGGGCTCTGTCCTGGGACCTCTGTTGTTTATAATATATATAAATGATTTAGATTCAGGTTTGAGTAGCAACATTTGCAAATTTGCCGATGATACGAAAATCGGTAGGGAAATTAATTCGGAGGAGGACTCACTATCACTTCAAGTTGATCTAGATAGGGTTTTGAAATGGTCAAAGGATTGGCAAATGCAGTTTAATGCTGATAAATGTAAAGTTCTGAGGCTAGGTAATGATGATAGAGTTACAAGATACGAGCTAGATGGTGTTGAGATTGCGAAGTCGGATTGCGAAAGGGATCTGGGAGTTATGATTAGTAAGAATTTAAAACAAAAGGATCAATGCATGAATGTTCGTAATAAGGCGAATAGGACACTGGGATTTATTAATCGAAGCGTTAGTAACAAGACACCTGGTGTGGTTCTTAAGCTATATCTTGCTCTGGTTAGGCCCCATTTAGATTATGCAGTTCAGTTTTGGTCGCCGTATTATAGAATGGATATAAATTCACTTGAACGTGTCCAACGTAGGATGACTAAGTTAATTCCCCAAATTAGAAATCTTTCATATGAAGAAAGATTAACAAAGCTTAAGTTGCATTCACTGGAAAGGCGAAGAGTTAGGGGTGACATGATAGAGGTTTACAAGTGGATGAATGGACATAACAGGGGGGATATTAATAGGGTATTAAAAATATCAACACAAGACAGAACACGAAACAATGGGTATAAATTGGATAAGTTTAGATTTAGGAAAGACTTGGGTAAATACTGGTTCAGTAATAGGGTTGTTGATTTGTGGAACCAATTGCCGCGTAACGTGGTGGAGGTGGGGTCCCTCGATTGTTTCAAGCGCGGGTTGGACAAGTATATGAGTGGGATTGGGTGGTTATAGATAGGAGCTGCCTCGTATGGGCCAATAGGCCTTCTGCAGTTACCTTTGTTCTTATGTTCTTACCATTTACTTAAGTCTTTCCCGCAGGGTAAAGTATCCTAAAGTGTTGTATCGGAAGTTGCAGTGTTTCTATATGAAGTTATTATTGTCTTTATCGCACCTTAGTAACAACTGTTCAGCCAGCAGAGCTCTCATAAGTGATCAGTAATATGGGAAGTTATCTCATATATTAAATAATGGTCCCATATTAATATTTTGCTCCAGTATAGAGGAACTGCTTCCTCCTGACACCTTCACTCCAACCTCACAACTCCCAAGTTGTCTGCACTCAACTTTAAACTGTTGTTTACTGATATGATATAATAGATATGGTGGTCCACTTGCCTCATCTTTATATGGGATTAATTCCAAGCTGGATTGGAGGCTTGAAAGGATTGTGAACATATCATTGTTTCATTGTAACAATTCCAGAACATGAGGAAGTAGTGTCATGGCGCGCTAATGGTACAAAATTACTCATGAAGGTGAGCTGTGGTGCAAACTGGTGATGGTTTACTGGTGGCATAACTGCTGAAGGTGAGGTGGTGGACGAGATGTTAGCTTGTGGTGGAGTAATACTAGCTAAAGACAGACGATGATGATGATGAAGGAGAGTAGGGATGATGAGGAGGCAACTGGTAGCTGGCGTCGTGGCATACAAGTTGTAGGGGAAGAGGTTGCAACACACAGTATAGTCAGCAACATCTGCACGGCAGAGGGGGGCAGTGTCACCATGTTGCAATAGGCTTAAGATACACTGGCAGCAAGAAGAGCTTCCAGGGCCCAGGTCCTGGGGTGAGACTGGACTTCCAGGGCCCAGGTCTTGGGGTGAGACTGGACTTCCAGGGCCCAGGTCCTGGGGTGAGACTGGACTTCCAGGGCCCAGGTCCTGGGGTGAGACTGGACTTCCAGGGCCCAGGTCCTGGGGTCAGACTGGACTTCCAGGGCCCAGGTCATGGGGTGAGACTGGACTTCCAGGGCCCAGGTCCTGGGGTCAGACTGGACTTCCAGGGCCCAGGTCCTGGGGTGGGACTGGACTTCCAGGGCCCAGGTCATGGGGTGAGACTGGACTTCCAGGGCCCAGGTCCTTGGGTGGGACTGGACTTCCAGGGCCCAGGTCCTGGGGTGAGACTGGACTTGTCTGGTGTCAACGATCGTTTAGGGAAGACTCAGAGTGTTTAGGACACTTTCAACAAGGAGTACTAGGGGACCGTGGGGTTCAGGGACGTGGCCTTGTACTGTTGCACTCGTCTTGAAATGAAGGCGCGGGGACAGGAGGCGCGGGGACAGGAGGCGCGGGTGTGTCATCTTGCAAGGCGCGGGGACAGGAGGCGCGGGGACAGGAGGCGCGGGTGTGTCATCATGCAAGGCGCGGGGACAGGAGGCGCGGGTGTGTCATCTTGCAAGGCGCGGGGACAGGAGGCGCGGGTGTGTCATCTTGCAAGGCGCGGGGACAGGAGGCGCGGGTGTGTCATCATGCAAGGCGCGGGGACTGGAGGCGCGGGTGTGTCATCTTGCAAGGCGCGGGGACAGGAGGCGCGGGGACTGGAGGCGCGGGTGTGTCATCTTGCAAGGCGCGGGGACAGGAGGCGCGGGTGTGTCATCTTGCAAGGCGCGGGGACAGGAGGCGCGGGGACAGGAGGCGCAGGTGTGTCATCAGGCAAGGCGCGGGGACAGGAGGCGCGGGTGTGTCATCATGCAAGGCGCGGGGACAGGAGGCGCGGGTGTGTCATCATGCAAGGCGCGGGGACAGGAGGCGCGGGGACAGGAGGCGCGGGTGTGTCATCATGCAAGGCGCGGGGACAGTAGGCGCGGGTGTGTCATCTTGCAAGGCGCGGGGACAGGAGGCGCGGGTGTGTCATCATGCAAGGCGCGGGGACAGGAGGCGCGGGTGTGTCATCATGCAAGGCGCGGGGACAGGAGGCGCGGGTGTGTCATCTTGCAAGGCGCGGGGACAGGAGGCGCGGGGACAGGAGGCGCGGGTGTGTCATCATGCAAGGCGCGGGGACAGGAGGCGCGGGTGTGTCATCATGCAAGGCGCGGGGACAGGAGGCGCGGGTGTGTCATCATGCAAGGCGCGGGGACAGGAGGCGCGGGTGTGTCATCATGCAAGGCGCGGGTGTGTCATCATGCAAGGCGCGGGGACAGGAGGCGCGGGTGTGTCATCATGCAAGGCGCGGGGACAGGAGGCGCGTGTGTGTCATCATGCAAGGCGCGGGGACAGGAGGCGCGGGTGTGTCATCATGCAAGGCGCGGGGACAGGAGGCGCGGGTGTGTCATCTTGCAAGGCGCGGGGACAGGAGGCGCGGGTGTGTCATCTTGCAAGGCGCGGGGACAGGAGGCGCGGGTGTGTCATCTTGCAAGGCGCGGGGACAGGAGGCGCGGGTGTGTCATCATGCAAGGCGCGGGGACAGGAGGCGCGGGTGTGTCATCTTGCAAGGCGCGGGGGACAGGAGGCGCGGGTGTGTCATCTTGCAAGGCGCGGGGACAGGAGGCGCGGGTGTGAGGCGCGGGTGTGTCATCATGCAAGGCGCGGGGACAGGAGGCGCGGGTGTGTCATCAGGCAAGGCGCGGGGACAGGAGGCGCGGGGACAGGAGGCGCGGGTGTGTCATCATGCAAGGCGCGGGGACAGGAGGCGCGGGTGTGTCATCATGCAAGGCGCGGGGACAGGAGGCGCGGGTGTGTCATCATGCAAGGCGCGGGGACAGGAGGCGCGGGTGTGTCATCATGCAAGGCGCGGGGACAGGAGGCGCGGGTGTGTCATCATGCAAGGCGCGGGGACAGGAGGCGCGGGTGTGTCATCTTGCAAGGCGCGGGGACAGGAGGCGCGGGTGTGTCATCTTGCAAGGCGCGGGGACAGGAGGCGCGGGTGTGTCATCATGCAAGGCGCGGGGACAGGAGGCGCGGGTGTGTCATCATGCAAGGCGCGGGGACAGGAGGCGCGGGTGTGTCATCATGCAAGGCGCGGGGACAGGAGGCGCGGGTGTGGAGGCATGCAAGGCGGGGACAGGAGGCGCGGGTGTGTCATCATGCAAGGCGCGGGGACAGGAGGCGTGGGTGTGTCATCTTGCAAGGCGCGGGGACAGGAGGCGCGGGTGTGTCATCATGCAAGGCGCGGGGACAGGAGGCGCGGGGACAGGAGGCGCGGGGACAGGAGGCGCGGGTGTGTCACCATGCAAGGCGCGGGGACAGGAGGCGCGGGTGTGTCATCTTGCAAGGCGCGGGGACAGGAGGCGCGGGGACAGGAGGCGCGGGTGTGTCATCATGCAAGGCGCGGGGACAGGAGGCGCGGGGACAGGAGGCGCGGGTGTGTCATCATGCAAGGCGCGGGGACAGGAGGCGCGGGTGTGTCATCTTGCAAGGCGCGGGGACAGGAGGCGCGGGGACAGGAGGCGCGGGTGTGTCATCATGCAAGGCGCGGGGACAGGAGGCGCGGAGACAGGAGGCGCGGGTGTGTCATCTTGCAAGACGCGGGGACAGGAGGCGCGGGTGTGTCATCATGCAAGGCGCGGGGACAGGAGGCGCGGGTGTGTCATCTTGCAAGGCGCGGGGACAGGAGGCGCGGGTGTGTCATCTTGCAAGGCGCGGGGACAGGAGGCGCGGGTGTGTCATCATGCAAGGCGCGGGGACAGGAGGCGCGGGGGATCATGCAAGGCGCGGGGACAGGAGGCGCGGGTGTGTCATCATGCAAGGCGCGGGGACAGGAGGCGCGGGGGGACAGGAGGCGCGGGTGTGTCATCATGCAAGGCGCGGGGACAGGAGGCGCGGGTGTGTCATCATGCAAGGCGCGGGGACAGGAGGCGCGGGTTTGTCATCTTGCTAGGCGCGGGGACAGGAGGCGCGGGTGTGTCATCTTGCTAGGCGCGGGGACAGGAGGCGCGGGGACAGGAGGCGCGGGTGTGTCATCATGCAGGAGGCGCGGGGACAGGAGGCGCGGGTGTGTCATCTTGCAAGGCGCGGGGACAGGAGGCAGGAGGCGCGGGTGTGTCATCATGCAAGGCGCGGGGACAGGAGGCGCGGGTGTGTCATCATGCAAGGCGCGGGGACAGGAGGCGCGGGTGTGTCATCTTGCAAGGCGCGGGGACAGGAGGCGCGGGTGTGTCATCTTGCAAGGCGCGGGGACAGGAGGCGCGGGTGTGTCATCATGCAAGGCGCGGGGACAGGAGGCGCGGGTGTGTCATCTTGCAAGGCGCGGGGACAGGAGGCGCGGGGTGTGTCATCTTGCAAGGCGCGGGGACAGGAGGCGCGGGTGTGTCATCTTGCAAGGCGCGGGGACAGGAGGCGCGGGTGTGTCATCATGCAAGGCGCGGGGACAGGAGGCGCGGGGACAGGAGGCGCGGGTGTGTCATCATGCAAGGCGCGGGGACAGGAGGCGCGGGTGTGTCATCATGCAAGGCGCGGGGACAGGAGGCGCGGGTGTGTCATCAGGCAAGGCGCGGGGGACAGGAGGCGCGGGTGTGTCATCTTGCAAGGCGCGGGGACAGGAGGCGCGGGTGTGTCATCATGCAAGGCGCGGGGACAGGAGGCGCGGGGACAGGAGGCGCGGGTGTGTCATCATGCAAGGCGCGGGGACAGGAGGCGCAGGAGGAGGCGGGGTGTGTCATCATGCAAGGCGCGGGGGACAGGAGGCGCGGGGACAGGAGGCGCGGGTGTGTCATCATGCAAGGCGCGGGGACAGGAGGCGCGGGTGTGTCATCATGCAAGGCGCGGGGACAGGAGGCGCGGGTGTGTCATCTTGCAAGGCGCGGGGACAGGAGGCGCGGGGTGTCATCAGGCAAGGCGCGGGGACAGGAGGCGCGGGTGTGTCATCTTGCAAGGCGCGGGGACAGGAGGCGCGGGTGTGTCATCATGCAAGGCGCGGGGACAGGAGGCGCGGGTGTGTCATCTTGCAAGGCGCGGGGACAGGAGGCGCGGGTGTGTCATCATGCAAGGCGCGGGGACAGGAGGCGCGGGTGTGTCATCATGCAAGGCGCGGGGACAGGAGGCGCGGGGACAGGAGGCGCGGGTGTGTCATCATGCAAGGCGCGGGGACAGGAGGCGCGGGTGTGGAGGCGCGGGGACAGGAGGCGCGGGTGTGTCACCATGCAAGGCGCGGGGACAGGAGGCGCGGGTGTGTCATCATGCAAGGCGCGGGGACAGGAGGCGCGGGTGTGTCATCTTGCAAGGCGCGGGGACAGGAGGCGCGGGTGTGTCATCATGCAAGGCGCGGGGACAGGAGGCGCGGGTGTGTCATCATGCATGGCGCGGGGACAGGAGGCGTGGGGACAGGAGGCGCGGGGACAGGAGGCGCGGGTGTGTCATCTTGCAAGGCGCGGGGACAGGAGGCGCGGGTGTGTCATCAGGCAAGGCGCGGGGACAGGAGGCGCGGGGACAGGAGGCGCGGGTGTGTCATCATGCAAGGCGCGGGGACAGGAGGCGCGGGTGTGTCATCAGGCAAGGCGCGGGGACAGGAGGCGCGGGTGTGTCATCATGCAAGGCGCGGGGACAGGAGGCGCGGGTGTGTCACCATGCAAGGCGCGCGGGGACAGGAGGCGCGGGGACAGGAGGCGCGGGTGTGTCATCATGCAAGGTAATGGTTGTTGTGGTGGTGGTGGTTGTTGTGTTGGTGGTGGTGGTTGTTGTTGGTGGTGGTGGTTGTTGTTGGTGGTGGTGGTTGTTGGTGGTGGTGGTTGTTGTTGTTGTTGGTGGTTGGTGGTGGTTGTTGGTTGTTGTGGTGGTACTGTTTGTTGGTGGTTGGTGGTTGGTGGGTGGTTGTTGGTGGTAATTGTTGTTGGTTGGTGGTGGTTGTTGTTGTTGGTGGTGGTTGTTGTTGTTGGTGGTGGTTGTTGTTGTGGTGGTGGTTGTTGGTGGTTGTTGTTGGTGGTGTTGTGGTTGTTGTTGGTGTTGTGGTGGTGTTGTGTGGTTGTTGGTGGTGTAAGGTGGTTGTTGGTGGTGGTGGTTGTTGGTGGTGGTGGTTGTTGTGGTGGTGGTGGTTGTTGGTGGTAACTGTTGTTGGTGGTGGTACTGGTTGTTGGTGGTGGTGGGTTGTGGTTGTACTGGTTGTGGTGGTGGTGTGGTTGTTGGTGGTGTTGTGGTTGTTGGTGGTGTGGTTGGTGTGGTGGTGGTTGTTGTTGGTGGTGGTGGTTGTTGGTGTGGTGGTGTTGGTGGTGTTGTTGGTGGTGGTGGTTGTTGTTGGTGGTGGTGGTTGTTGTTGGTGGTGGTGGTTGTTGGTGGTGGTGGTTGTTGTTGTTGGTGGTGGTGGTTGTTGTTGTGGTGGTGGTGGTTGTTGGTGGTGGTGGTTGTTGTGTACTGGTGTTGGTGGTTGTTGTTGTTGGTGGTGTTGGTGGTGGTTGGTTGGTGGTTGGTTGTTGTTGTGGTGGTGGTGGTGGTTGTTGGTGGTGTTGTTGTTGTTGTGGTGGTGGGTGTTGTGGTGGTGGTTGTTGTGGTGGTGGTGTTGTTGGTGGTGGTTGTTGTGTGGTGGTGGTGTTGTTGTTGGTGGTGGTGGTTGTTGGTGGTGGTGTTGTGGTTGTTGTGTGGTGGTGGTTGTTGTTGGTGGTGGTTGTTGTTGGTGGTGTTGTTGGTGGTGGTGGTGTGTTGTTGTTGGTGGTGGTTGTTGGTGGTACTGGGTGTTGGTGGTGGTTGTTGTGGTGGTTGTTGTGGTTGTTGTTGGTGGTTGTTGTGGTGTTGGTGGTGGTGGTTGTTGTGGGTGGTGGTTGTTGTTGGTGGTGGTGGTTGTTGTGGGTGGTGGTGGTTGTTGGTGGTAATGGTTGTTGTTGTTGGTGGTGGTGTTGTGGTGGGTTGTTGTGGTGGTGTTGTTGTGGTGGTGGTGTTGTTGTTGGTGGTGGTGGTTGTTGGTGGTAATGGTTGTTGTTGGTTGTTGTTGGTGGTGGTTGTGTTGTGGTGTACTGTTGGGTGGTTGTTGTTGTTGTTGTTGTTGTGGTGGTGGTTGTTGTGGTGGTGGTGTTGTGGTGTTGTGGTGGTGGTACTGGTGTTGTTGGTGGTGTTGTTGTGGTGGTTGGTGTTGGTGGTTGTGGTTGTTGGTGGTGGTGTTGTTGTTGGTTGGTGGTTGGTGGTGGTTGTTGTGGTGGTGGTGGTTGGTGGTGGTGGTTGTTGTTGGTGGTGGTTGTGTGGTGGTGGTGGTTGTTGTGGTGGTTGTTGTTGGTGGTGGTGGTGGTTGGTGTTGTTGGTGGTGGTGGTTGTTGTGGTGGTGGTTGTTGTGGTGTGGTTGTTGGTGGTGGTGGTGTTGTTGTGGTGTTGGTGGTGGTGGTTGTTGTTGGTGGTGGTGGTTGTTGTTGGTGGTAATGGTGGTTGTTGGTGGTATGGTTGTTGGTGGTGGTGGGTGGTGGTTGTTGGTGGTGGTTGTTGTGTTGGTGGTGGTGGTTGGTGGTGGTGGTTGTTGTTGGTGGTACTGGTTGTTGTTGGTGGTAATGGTTGTTGGTGGTGGTGGTGGTGGTTGTTGGTGGTGGTGGTTGGTGTGTTGTGGTGGTGGTGGTTGTTGTTGGTGGTACTGGTTGTTGGTGGTGGTTGTTGGTGGTAATGTTGTTGTTGGTGGTAATGTTGTTGTTGTTGGTGGTGTTGGTTGTTGTTGGTGGTTGGTTGTTGTTGGTGGTTGGTGGTTGTTGTTGGTGGTGGTGGTGGTGTTGGTGGTGGTAATGTTGTTGTGGTGGTGTTGTGGTGGTGTGTTGTGGTGGTTGTTGGTGGTGGTTGTTGTTGGTGGTACTGGTGGTGGTGGTGGTTGTTGTTGGTGGTAATGGTTGTTGGTGGTGGTGGTGTTGGTGGTGGTGGTTGTTGGTGGTGGTGGTTGGTGGTGGTGGTGTGTGGTGTTGTTGGTGGTGGTTGTTGTTGGTGGTGGTTGTTGTTGTTGTGGTTGTGGTGGTTGTGTTGTTGTTGGTGGTTGGTTGTGTGGTGGTTGTGTGTTGGTTGTGGTTGTGGTTGTTGGTGGTGGTTGTTGTTGGTGGTGGGTGGTTGTTGGTGGGTGGTTGTTGTTGGTGGTATGGTGTTGTGGTGGTTGTTGTTGTGTGGGTGGTTGTTGTTGTTGGTGGTGGTGGTTGTTGTTGGTGGTTGTTGGTGGTGGTGGTGGTTGTTGTTGGTGGTGGGTGGTTGTTGTTGGTGGTGGTGTTGTGTGGTGGTGTGGTTGTTGGTGGTTGTTTGTGGTGGTGGTGGTTGTTGTTGGTGGTGGTGGTTGGTGGTGTGTTGTTGTGGTGGTGTGTGGTTGTTGTGTGGTGGTGGTGGTGTGGTTGTGTTGTGGTGGTGGTGGTGGGTGTTGGTGGTGGTTGTTGTGTGTGTGGTGGTTGTTGTGGTGGTGGTTGTTGTTGTGGTGGTGGTGGGGTTGTTGTTGGTGGTGGTGGTTGGTGTGGTGGTTGTTGGTGGTGGTTGGTGGTGGTTGTTGTTGTGTTGGTGGTGGTGTTGTTGGTGGTGTGGTGGGTGGTTGGTGTTGTTGTTGGTGGTGGTGGTGGTTGTTGGTGGTGGTGGTGTTGTTGGTGGTGGTGGTTGTTGTTGTTGGTTGTTGGTGGTGGTGTTGTGTGTTGGTTGGTGGTGGTGGTTGTTGTTGTTGGTGGTGGTGGTTGTTGTTGGTGGTGGTGGTTGTTGTTGTTGGTGGTGGTGGTGTTGTTGTTGGTGGTGGTGTTGTTGTTGGTGGTGGTGGTTGTTGTGGTGGTGGTGGTTGTTGTGGTGGTGGGTGTTGGTGGTGGTTGTTGTTGGTGGTTGTTGTTGGTGTGTTGGTGGTTGTTGTGGTTGGTGGTGGTTGTTGTGGTTGTGTGGTGGTGGTTGTTGTTGGTGGTGGTGGTTGTTGTTGGTGGTGGTAGTTGTGGTTGGTGGTGGTGGTTATGGTTGTTGGTGGTGGTTGTTGTTGGTGGTGGTGGTTGTTGTTGGTGGTGGTTGTTGTTGTTGGTGGTGGTGGTGTTGGTTGGTGGTGGTGGTTGTTGGTGGTGGTGGTTGTTGTTGGTGGTGGTGGTTGTTGTTGGTGGTGGTTGTTGTTGGTGGTGGTTGTTGGTGGTGGTGGTTGTTGGTGGTGGTGGTTGTGGTGGTGGTGGTGGTGGTTGTTGTTGGTGGTGGTTGTTGTTGGTGGTGGTGGTTGTTGTGGTGGTGGTGGTGGTTGTTGTTGGTGGTGGTGGTTGTTGTTGGTGGTGGTTGTTGTTGGTGATGGTTGTTGTTGGTGGGTGTTGTTGGTGGTGGTTGTTGTTGGTGGTGGTTGTTGTTGGTGGTAATGGTTGTTGTTGGTGGTAGTTGTTGTTGCTGGTGGTAATGGTTGTTGTTGGTGGTAGTTGTTGTTGTTGGTAGTAGTGGTTGTTGTTGGTGGTAATGGTTGTTGTTGGTGGTAATGGTTGTTGTTGGTGGTAATGGTTGTTGTTGGTGGTGGTGGTTGTTGTTGGTGGTGGTTGTTGTTGGTGGTGGTTGTTGTTGGTGGTAATGGTTGTTGTTGGTGGTGGTTGTTGTTGGTGGTGGTGGTTGTTGTTGGTGGTAATGGTTGTTGGTGGTGGTGGTTGTTGTTGGTGGTGGTGGTTGTTGTTGGTGGTGGTGGTGTTGTTGTTGGTGGTGGTGGTTGTTGTTGGTGGTAGTGGTTGTTGTTGGTGGTGGTGGTTGTTGTTGGTGGTAATGGTTGTTGTTGGTGGTGGTGGTTGTTGTTGGTGGTAATGGTTGTTGTTGGTGGTAATGGTTGTTGTTGGTGGTAATGGTTGTTGTTGGTGGTAATGGTTGTTGTTGGTGGTGGTGGTGGTGTTGTTGGTGGTGGTGGTTGTTGTTGGTGGTGGTTGTTGTTGGTGGTGGTGGTTGTTGTTGGTGGTGGTTGGTTGTTGTTGGTGGTTGGGTTGGTGGTGGTGGTTGTTGTTAGTGGTAATGGTTGTTGCTGGTGGTGGTGGTTGTTGTTGGTGGTGGTGGTTGTTGTTGGTGGTAATGGTTGTTGTGGTGGTAGTGGTTGTTGTTGGTGGTACTGGTTGTTGTGTGGTGTTGGTGGTAGTGGTTGTTGTTGGTGGTAGTGGTTGTTGTGGTGGTGGTTGTTGGTGGTGGTTGTTGTTGGTGGTGGTGTTGGTGGTGGTGGTGGTGGTTGTTGTTGGTGGTAATGGTTGTTGGTGGTGGTGGTGGTTGTTGTTGGTGGTGGTGGTTGTTGTTGGTGGTGGTGGTTGTTGGTGGTGGTGTTGTTGGTGGTGGTGGTTGTGGTTGGTGGTGGTGGTGGTTGTTGGTGGTAGTGGTTGTTGTTGGTGGTAGTGGGTTGTTGTGGTGGTTGTGTTGGTGTAGTGGTGGTTGTTGGTGGTGGTGTTGTTGTTGGTGGTGGTGGTTGTTGGTGGTGGTTGTTGTTGGTGGTTGGTGGTTGGTTGTTGGTGGTGGTGGTTGTTGGTGGTGGTGGTTGTTGTTGGTGGTACTGTGGTGTTGTTGGTGGTGGTGGTTGTTGTTGGTGGTGGTGGTTGTTGTGGTGGTGTTGTGGTTGTTGTTGGTGGTTGGTTGGTGGTTGTTGGTGGTTGGTGGTTGTTGTTGGTGGTAATGGTTGTTGTTGGTGGTAATGGTTGTTGTTGGTGGTGGTTGTTGTTGGTGGTGGTGGTGGTGTGTGGTTGGTGGTGTTGTTGTTGGTGGTGGTGGTTGTTGGTGTGGTTGTTGTTGG